ACATTACCAGCTCTTGTAAGGTTGTCAAGATGAGTTTAGTTGAAAACTCATCTAATACTAGTGCAGTTAAGTATGGACTTTAAAAACAGAGTATAGTAAGTACAGTCATATTCATCTGAAACTATGTTGAGAAAAACTGTCTTATCTGCAAAATTGGGCTTCTATGTTTTCTCTGGCTTCTTTATTGTGTTGATCCTGTTCTTTCTCACATGCTTATTTATGTGTGAATTCCCAGAAGTACAACTTACACAATTGAAGTCTCATTCAGATTACATTCAGCAAACACCATTAAGGGACAAGCTGTGTTTGCTCAATATGACTATCTCTGTAGGCTTTTCTTAAACATTATTTTAACTTTTGGTAATTGTTCTGGAGTCCTGTGAAGTAACTGGCAGCAGAGACAGACGTTCCCTTAAATTAAACAGGTAATCTTTCTTTTTAAAGGAATTGGAGCTGAAGTTGTTTTCAGAGACTTTCAGACTTCCAATGTCAACATTTAAATTAAATATCTAAAAAGATTCAAGAATGGGTTGACACTTAATCTCCACTGAAGGGAACTTTCCACACTTCTTCACCACAATCATAGTGTCTTTGTAGTAGCGTATCTCTTTTCTCTTCTCCAAATTTACTTTTCTTCATGTGCTTAGCAAAAAAAATCGTTTATGCTTTTGGCATGCTTTCCCCCTGCTGCCTTTGCAAAGATGGTTACCTAGTTAAATATTAGGCCTTCCTTATTCTAGTTAACAAAAAGACCCAGCTCTAAAATCAATTGGAGCTTTTCCTACTACAGTTATCAAAGAATGGTGGGCAAGTTTCATTATGCTGGTGGAACTGAAGAACAGATGAGGTGAGTCCTTAAGGAATAAGTTGTCTGCCCTTTTTTTTTTTTTTTCCAGTTAGGAGCAGTCATTCTATACATTAATATGGGCAAAGATGGAGTAATCTCTTCTGTTAGACCATATGCTAATATAGTGCTGATAAGTAAGTGTGAAAAATGAAAGGGAGAAATACATTAATTGTATTCTTTCAATAAGGTATGCTATGCAAGGTAATTATTTCATGACAGTTTTAGTTATAGTACTTGTTTTATCATGAAATAAAAGATGGTTTTAGGAGCCTTTTATTGTTGGAAAGACAATTGTATCAAACTAGTACAAATTAGATTTTTGTCTTTATAAAGGTGAGCAAACCCATGAGCAGTTTTTAAATTGATGTGTTCTAGTCTAGAAATGAACAAATTCCGTTTGAGGGTTAAAGAAGCTATTATTTTGTCCTTTATGCTGACAGCTTCATTACAGATTGGCCTACTGTTGGCATTAAAAAAAAATGTTTGGCTCCTTATGATCTTTGTGCATGCAACTATAATATTAATGCAGCACCATAGCACTGTTCATTAAGAAATGACTTTAAATGAGGTTGAAGCATGTAAATTTAGAAAGATACAGATGTTAAATGCAGTCGTTTCTCTTTGTGTACAGCTGTATGGCTAATAATTTCCAAGTGGCTAAAGCTCTTGTTAGCAGGAGTGCTGGTGTGTTAAGAATGGCTCTATAAATAACTTTAAGAACTGAAGTTGAAGGTGCTTCTTTTAAAGACTATTGTTAACTAAACATTATTGCCAAACAGATGGAAAGCATTCACCAGCCTGATGTTTTTAGGTCTAATTATATTATCACCAGCCCTGTACGGCTCAGTTGAAGAGGTGTATCCAGAGGCCAATTTATAATCATTTAGCCAACACCTGTTTGGGAGAAATTGACAGTCAAAGGGCAGATTTTAAAAAAATCACATATGTTCTTGTGTTTATTGCCTCAATGTGAACATTGTCTAGTTGCAAACAAACTTGGTAGGAGAAGAAAGTAAATGTAAACAAAGCAGCATTTCCCAGCCATGTTTATCCATCTTAATTTGGTCTTTTTATCTGATGCACTTCATGCTTCATGGCTAAGTGAAACCAGCAAAGAGATATCATTCCTGATTTATATAGGCATATTCTGTTTAGTCAATTAAGAGGCTTTTGGTAGCAAAAAGAAGTTCCTTCCTTTGATTATACAGCTTCCGTATCTTTTACCTAGTAAGATTTTTTCTATTTCATATAGATGTATCTTATTCAAACAGGATTGGCTTTCTGGTGAGTGACTTACAAGAGTCACACCTGGTATAAAAACAAATGAGACTTAAAGAACACTAAATGTCTTCACATATTCAACAGATGTTCAGTGAGCCCTCCTTTGTAGAGAAAGGGCCATTTTGCCTCCTTTTGCACTCATGATATGCTAATTTAACTTTCAAGGTTCAAGTTCTATGAATATGTTCCTGTGCCTTGGCAGTTCGAGATTTGTGGTGAATATAGCTCAGGGGGCAATTACAGGGAGAATAGGTCTATCCTGTCTGAAAATAATAAAAATCCCAACCTTTTTTTGAACTGATGATCCCACCAACTCTTTCATTTTAATATTCTTCCTTCTTCTGACATACTTCACTGTTGAAAGATTTATATGTGTCACCTCCATTTTCTTATCACTCATTATTAACTCAGGGCAGTCTGGCTTCTATCCTCAGCAGTTCACTGCATAATACAATATTGAAAGTTACCAATGACTTCCTAACTGCCTTACCCAGTGATGATTTCCCAGTCCTCATTCTTCATGGTTTCTCTTTGTTGTTTGGCACTGATGATTACTCTCATCTTAAACATTCTCTTTCTCTGACATCCAAACCATTATATTTTCTCTTTGTACTTTTCTCCCTACGGTTTTGATTGTTATTGTCTTATCCACCCACAATATTCCAACTATGTATAATTTAGCAGTTAAAGAGGAAAAACTCTAGAGCCAGACTAGCCAGGTTTAAATTTCACCTCTACCACCTCTTAGCTTTGTAAACATGGACAAGTTAACATTTTTATGTTTGTTTCCTCGTCTGTTAAATTGGTTAATAAAAGATACCTACATCTTTGAATTGTTGAGAGCATTATATGGTTTAATTCTTTGAAGCCCAGCGCAGTGTGTAGTATAAAGGAAGCATTTTAGTGGGGTACATTCGCATGTCTTCAGCTTTTATCTTTGTGCAGAATGCTCAAATGTAAATCTTTAGCTCCTGACTTATTTTCTAAGCTTCCCATATCTCCATCTACCTTCCAGACTTTTAGACTTGAATTCACTAACCATGTTTATTGAACATTCACTATGTGAGAACAATGTTATGTGACAGAAGAAATACATTTTTTGTTTTCTATTAGTTTTCTATTGCTGTCATAACAAATTACCACATTTGGCAGCCTAAAACAGCCTAAAAATTATCTCATTATGTTGAAAGGATTAACACTGATGACACATGACGAAAGCATAGCACATAGTAAACACAACATGATAGATGAGAGAGAATAGAGGGTGGATAAGAGAAGTGCTTAGGAGGTAGAATTGATTCGACTTGGTCGGTGGTTCTGAAGGTAGGAGACAGGAGAGAGTTCACAGTGACCTAGGGAGACTCTTTGGTTTGGGGGCTTGTATGGAGTTGATATTATAATACTGTAGAAGGAGGAGCAGGATTTTTTGGTTTTGTTTTTGGTGAGGGCAGGATTTGGGGAAGAGGAAGATAGGATTTCATAAGGTACCTGTGGGACTATTCTCTTGAAATTAAATGGAAATTTAAATAATATAGGATAGGTCAAACACTCAGAAGAAAGTTCAAAGATGAAGTTGTTACTATTTCTTTAAATTCATCATGTCTAAAATGGAATTTACCATCTTCTGAAACTGGTTTCCTATCTTAACTTTTCTGTTTCTTATCACCATTCTTTTATTTTCCCAAGCTTAACATGTTTTTTTCATCCTTGACTCCTGTCTCTCCTTACCCAGTGGTAGGCTGCTAAATGTTTGACATTCAGCTTTCTGGAGTCAGAAGAAAGCCTCATTTGCAGTATTTGCTGATTTCTTTGGTGGAAATCCTTCCATCATGGCCAATTTCAGGCTATGGCTGCTTTTGTTCTACAATGGTAGAGTTGAAAAGCTGCAACAGAGGTTGCATGGGCCTGCAAAGCCTGAAATATTTACTATGTGGTCAACCTTTGCTATAGTATTTCCAAAATAATAAAAATTTAGTAGGGTAGGATAGTTCCTTACCTCTGTTCACTCCTTCTATCCATCAAGATAGGGGTTGGGAGTGGGTAGTTCAAGGGAGCAATGCGTGACATCGTGAAGGGTCATGAAGTCCATTTTATGGACTTTAGGCTTTTTCCTCTCAGTGAGATGAGAAGAGTGACATGTTCTCACTTGTATTTTAAAAAGAAAACCCTGGCTGCTGATTTGAAGGTAGACCACAGGGCAGCAAAGATGGAAACAGGGAGATCAGTTGGGAGACCGTTGTTATAAGCTAGGTGAGAGTTGGTCTTTGCTTAGATCAGGGTAGTAGCTGTGTAAGTGGTGAGGTGAGTTCAGGTACTGGATACAGTTTAAAGATAGAGCTGACAGGGTAAAAAGAGGTTTTTGCTGATGGTAAAAAGAGGAGTTATGGGTGAGTCCAGGGTGGAGAAGCAGTACCAAGAGGTTGCCGTATGCTATAGCCTGAGTTATTGAGATTACTTTACAGCAAGTTGCTACGTAATGGGTTTTAGGAAGAAAACTGAGACTTCAGCAATTTTTTTTTTTTTTTTTACCATTTCCTCTTAACCATACATATTCCATGAGAAAAAATTCTTTGTCTATATTAATATTTCCTTTACGTTTAAGAAATATATTTTAAAATAAATCTAGGAAACATAGCAATGTTTCTAAAATGTGGCAGTTTTAGAAAAGGAAACTATAATAAAACCCATTTTGGATAAGACTGTTTTGATCTTGTGATTGGTGACTTTAAAAAAAAAATCTATTCAGAAATTAATAATTTTGGGGGAGTCAATTCCAACCTCTTCTCCCTAAACCCTTAAAGTTTAGTTTCCCAAAGTTGAGTTAATCTCTCATTGTATTGTAAGTAAAGTATTACTCATGTCTTTTATGTAGGTTTTACTTGTAATGGACACAAGGACAGAACAGACATTCATTTTAAAAGTAAGTAGAGTTTGTATGTTTAATGAATTAAACAATTTTATTTCAAATTATGCTTCTGAAAGAAAAGACATTTAATATTTTTCCCCCCTGGGTGTTTTGAATGTTCCTTATGTTGTTGGTGATCTGTATTTCTTCTCTTTCTTTTCCTTTTCCTTTTCTTTTTCTTTTCTCCTTCTTTTCTTTCTTGACAGGGGCTCACTCTGTTGCCCAGGCTAGAGTGCAGTGGTATCATCATAGCTCACTGTGACCTCAAACTCCTGGGCTCAAGTGATCCTCCTGCCTCAGCCTTCTGAGTAGCTAGGACTACAGGCGTGCACCACTACGCCCTGCTAATTTTTGTATTTTTTGTAGAGATGGGGTCTCGCTATATTGCTTAGGCTGGTCTTGAACTCCTGGGCTCAAGCTGTCCTCCCACTTTGGCCTCCCAAAGTGCTAGAATTACAGGCGTAAGCCATCATGCCCAGCTGTGTATTTATTTTCCTTTCTGTCCTTTCATCACAATTGGTAAATACTCAATAGCATATATTTAAAAAGAGTTTTATGTTATAGAGTATGGAGGAATGATAAATTGAAGAATCATTTTATGCTGTTTAAATGTGTGGTCTGTAGTTTAAATACATCTCAAATACATTTTGTATAGTTTGTGAAGACCACACACAATCTCACCTTTGATTATGACTACAGTTCTTAAGAGCTGAAATTTTGCCTTAAAGTCTTTGTTACAGATATTTTGGAAAGTGTTATCTATATCCCTGGCCCTCTTTTTGATCTAAATTCAATTTTGATTTTATATATAACTCAATTTCTAACTAAATGACTAAGGAGAAAAAAACCTCAAATTTGTGATTTTGAAATTGTATTTGGAATGGATTGTGATAGTATATATTCTAAAAATATCCTCATTTAAGCGTTTCCACAGCATTCAGAAGATGAATTGATAGGTTTTATATTTCTATTTCTGATACTTTTTCTTTTGCTGATAAGGCATGGCAGTAGGACACATTGACACATACAGAAACATATTTCTTTTTGTGAATTATACATTGACATTTCCCCTGTTTTTAAAACCAGGGTATGATACCAGAAAATGCACAAACCTTGTTTCTTATAAGAAGATTTAATATCTTTGTACTTTTAAAAAAATTACCTGGTTAATCCAGGAATACTTGTTGTGTCTCAGCAATTTGGTCTCACAGCTACTGCTTTAAAGATATATATAAGTAAAATAAAACTTAAGAAAAGGTCAGACAGAAATAACTGTGTGTCATCCTGATGACTTAGTTTGAGAGCATCTCTAATAAAAACACTGACCCACGTAATTGATTTTAATGGCAGCTTTGTGGCATCTTCCGTTCTCTGGATTCACGCCAGATGCCATCAGCAGAGCCTCCAGGGACTGAGGGGCATAGAGCAGCAGATGAGTGGTTTCTCTGAAGCCCAGAGTAACTCGGATAGATTAGTTTGGTTGATAAACACAGAGCACAGCAGGCTCCAAAGGCAACTGAGGATACAACTGACCTTTTTGTTCTCTGTCAGGGTCTAAGGAAAAGCAGTGAATACAGCAGGAACAGAAAGACCATCATCCCCCGCTGTGTGCCCAACATGGTGTGTCTGCACAAGTACATCATCTCTGAGGAGTCAGTGTTTCTTGTGCTGCAGCATGCAGAAGGTTGGTTTATGCTTTAGATTGTTTATAGAATGAAGAATGTCACCCACTTAGCTTTTCAGTTTCTATAATGTCCTTACTTTTGTCATTTCATGAGCAGATAAAATACATGAGACAAATGTAAGAAACTATTCCTCTGCTCTACTTTCCTACTTTGAATTGTGAGGGAAAGTGAAAACCCGGGTGAACAGGAGATTTCATTTGAACTATAGTACCCTTCTTGATATACTTTCCTATTTACTTTCTAATAGAATTTATCTAATGTAAGAGAACTTTAATGTGAATGCATGCTAAGAGAGTTAGGTTTTATTTTAGGGATATTTTGTTCTCTTGTTCCCTGCTAGAAAGATACATTTGTGTTAGATGACTAAAATGAAAAGCATCCCCTGAAGAATTAATTAATTACCTCCTTTTTTTTTTAGAAGGCAAGGGTGTTTGTTTAACATTTGACATTACCTAGTTATTCTGATCTGAGTTTTTATGAATACAGCCATTGGCATCACATATGGGTACAAAGCAGAGGCACAGTGCTCTGCCTTCAAACTATTTATGAAATTTCATCTCTTAGTAGAAAGAACAGGTGGCAAAAAAATATTATGTTTTGATTTGTATTTGCCCTTTAACACCTGAATTTAAATAAATAGTCTTTTATTTAGAATGACTGAATAAAGCATATAAATATAAATTCACTTAACAAATACTGCCTTTTGGCTTTTAAGAAATGTTCTTAAAATAGTAAAAAAAAAAAAATTAAGTATTTCCATATTTCATGAAGGCATTATTTTTTTTATATTACTGAGAATAAAGAACTATTGTGCTTTACTAATAGGCATAACATTTGAATTTAATACATTTTCCCAGGGAAAAGAGTTATTGCTTTCTGGAATGAGGTCTCTTATGGTAACTAATGCAAGATTTTTGACGGGGGCAATAAACTATTAATATTGTTTATTATGAAGTACAGCACAAGATAACTACAGATGGAGGGAAGACCTCCATATGCAGTATTTAATAGGAAATTCAGAAGGGGCTCCATGGTCTCTCAGGTATTAAGAGAGTTAATTGCGTGTGTGAATTGGATAACTAATTCACCTTTGTTCAGACATTATAGACAGCTTTTATCTGAGGATACCAGTGCATTACAGACATTATTGAATTAGAGGTCATGTCATCTGATAGCGAAATACAGCCACCTCTGGTGTGGAACAAAATAACTTGCGTAGTAATAATCCATAATAATTTAGAACAAGGTCAGTAGGATGAATGTAATTATAGTCAATATTCTATTACCCAGTGTGGATTATTCATGTTGGAGATTATGTATGGCAAGTTTTCAATCCTAGCTTACCTCTGTTACTTGTAGCTTTATCTTCCTCTTCCTCCTCTTCGTTGTCCAAATCATTCTTCAATTTTTCTTCTGCCATCTTCTCACCTTCCCTTATCCCTCTTAAAAGCTGTGTCTTAAAATCATAGACACGTGACTCAGTTTTTCTAGTTTTAGATCATCTTTACCAAGTCTCTTTTTCTTTACCATTGACCATCCTTGACTTCGAATGGTCACATGACCATAGAATTTGTCGGTTTTGACGTTTGACATGTCTATTGTTTAGTTTTAAGAAGGTTTTATAATACATGACAGTGAATTATAGTGCAAATAGAGGCTCTGGATTTATTTAATATTTAACAAATTTATTGAGCACATACTATATATTAGGCTCTTTTTTAGGTGAACAAGATAGGAAAGGAACCTGCCCTTCTGAAACTTAAATCCTCGTTGTGGAGAGTCAAATACAGAAATAAAGAGCAAGGGAACATTGGATAATAATGGGGACTATACTGATCTTTAATGCAGGGAGTTCTAATAGGGAACAACTGGGGGACTACTTTGGGTAGTCAAGGGAGGCCTCTCTGAAAGTCAGGAGCTCTCAGTGGCAAAAGAAACAACCATTTGAATGTAAGGTACAGGCATAGGAATTAGTGTAAAAACAAATGTGGAATGTTTGATGAACAGGAAAGGAACCGTTTGGTTGGAGTGTGGTAAGTGAGGGCAACAGTGGTATATGAGGCTACTGGAGAAGCAGGCTGGAGCCTTGTAAGGCAGGGTAAGAAGGACTTTGGCTTTTATTCAGATGCATTGGGAAACCATTAGACTCTTAGGAAGTGACAGGTTCTGATTTACGTTGTAAAATGGTCATTTATTGACTGCTTACTGGGGCAACAGGCATAGTTCTAATGAGGCAGTGAATAAAACAGAAGACTTTGCCTACATAGAGCTTACCTTACCTTATAGAGGCAGCACAGACAATAAGCAAACACATAGTAAATTAATGTCAGATGGAGATAAATGGTATAAAGAAGAATTAAAGGAAGGGGGAGGGGATGTTAAAACGGTGGTGGTGGGGGGTTGCTATTTTATATAGAGTGATCACCTTATTGAGAAGGGACATTTGGCCAGAGACTGGAAGGAAGCAAGAGAAGGAGCAATGTGGACATGTGAGGGAAGGATGCTTTGACAAGAGAGAACATGTCCATAGGCCCAGAGGCAAGAGTGTGCTTGGTGTACAAGGAATAGCAAGATCAGAGTGGCTAGAGCAGAATGGGAAGAGTAGCAGGAAGTGAGTTTAGAGCAGTGAGGAGATGGGCGGGCAGATCCTATATGGCATCATAGGCCACTTGAAGAACTTGACTTTTATTCTGAATGAGATAGGAAGTCATTGGGGTATGTTGAACAATGGAGTGATAAGACAGGGATTACGCTGACTGCTTTGTGGAAAATAGAATATAGGAGGGCAAAGGCAAAAGACGAGAGACCAGTTTGGAGGTTGACGCAGCAATCCAGGTGAAAATGAGGGGGGCTTAAAGAAGGTGTTAGTGGTGGAGGTGGTGAGGAATGCTTATTAGTCTGAATTTGTTGTGAAGGTAGAACAGACAGGATTCTGCCTTATATGACTCCGAGGTTTTTTGCTTAAATAATTGAAAGATTGGAATTTCCATTTACTAAGAATAGACTTAGGAGGAAAAATGAGGGATTCAGTTTTGGACATGTGAGATTGAGGTGCTTATTAAATGTTCAGGTGGTATTGAGTAGGCAGTTAGATATGCCAGAAAGGGTTTTAGGCTTGAGGTTTACAATGTTTATTGTTCTTTGAATCCCTTATTTTAACTCTATTTGAGGAAGAAAAGTGGGGAAACAAAACGTATTCAGTCTAGGCTGTGAGTATTTAATTTCTAAGATTTGGGATTATGGAATATTCATCATATATATCTAAGCAATTAGCAGAATGCTTGGTATGTAGAAGGTGCTCAGTGTATAATTGTTGAATACTGAGTGAGTCAGAGAAAAGATGAAAGACCAGGTTAGGAGACAAAGGTTGTAAAAGCTCTGACTGTGGATGTACCAAATAGAAGCGGGGGGGCGGGATTTCTCTTCAGGTCACTTAGGGACCCAAGGAGTGAAATGATTCTCTTTTTATTAACTACGTTTTTAAATTATAAAACGAACATACAAACAAATTAATTCAGACTATACAGAAGTACATAAAGTAAAAATAAAAATTCTCTCTCCTTACTCACTTTAATGCTTAGTCCTATTCTCTAGAAATAGGTACTCTTTTAACAGTTTATTTTGTATCTTCCAAAAATTTTCTGTGTTTATAAACATATACTTCTTACCTGTCTGTTGTGGGTTTTTTTTCTTTTTTCATTTTGGAGACAGGGCCTTACTCTGTCACCCAGGCTAGAGCAGTGGCGTCGTCATAGCTTGCTGCAACCTCAGACTCCTGGGCTTGAGCAATCCTCTTACTTCAGCTGGGACTACAGGCGCGTGCATCCACGCCCAGCTAATTTTTCTATTTTTTGTAGAGATGGGGTCTCACTCTTGCTCAGGCTGATTTTGAACTCCTGGCCTCAGGCGATCCTCCCGCCTCAGCTTCCCAAAGTGCTAGGATTACAGGTGTGAGTGCATACCTGGACCATTTTTAAAAAACATAAATGGGTCTTACATTTTGCCTTTAGCTTGCTTTTCCCTATTAGCAATGTACCTTGGACATCTTTCCTTATCACTATATATAGGTCTGTATTAAGAGAGGGAGTGTAATGTAGTGATTAAAAACAAGGTTTGTGGAACCAGGCTACATGAATCCAAATGCTGGTTCCCTATTACTAGTTTGTGACCTTGGGCAAGTTACTTAACCTTTCTGTGCCTCAGTTTCCTCATCTATAAAGTAGGGATAATGATAATTAGCTACCTCCTAGGGTTAATGTGAGGAATAAATAGTTGATATATGTAAAGCACTTAAAAGAGTACTTGGTACATGCTAAGCACTATGCGTTTGCAAATAGCTATCATTTATTTGACTGTACACAAAGTGATTGTGCAGATTTAGCATAATGTGTTTAACTACTCCCCTATTAATTGGTGTTTAAAGTGTTTCTAGTACTTGTACATATATATCTTTGTGCATTTTTGTTTTCTTTTGTGATTTGAAAGTTATTTGTAGGACAGATTTCTTGAAGTGGAATAGCTGGGTCAGATGATTTCAATCACTGTTATAGCAATATTTTGTTATACATATTAAATTTAAGTTCTAATTTTGGCCAAGCAAATTAACAAATTTACTTTGTGATCTTGTAGAAAACCAAAAGATTAAAATCTGATGAGTGGCAAAGAGAGAGTTTAATGAATTGTTATTTTTCATTGCTTAAAATGGTCCAATATCTGCAGTTTTATATGCTTCAGAAGGGCTTAGAAAAGTGTCATTTATATTCTTAGCATGTTAAATATTATAAATTTTAGGTATTTTCTATTTATGTTTTATGATTTAGCAATAATAGGGTTTTTTTTCAGGTTAATGTTATTACTATTATAGTGTTGATGTTTGTCTAAGTTTGCCTATTAGGCCTGATCTTAATTCTGCAGAGGGTAGAAACCCCTCCAGCTTGTGTGGGTGAGAAACTTCGGTGGGAATAATGTATTCTTGTAGGTTATGTGATTTTCATGATTTTATAATTGAAAAAAGTATGTGATAGGACCAAAATTTTGTTTCTGTAGCTCCAAATTGAAGATCAGATTTAACTGGGCTTCTCTTCCTTACTGGCCAGAAAATTAAAAATAAATAAATTAATTAAATAAATAAATAAATCTAACTGGGTACCCAGCAGACAATGGGCAAGAGCTAAAACAGTTTTTCCCCATTGAAAATGCATTTTCTAGTGTTCATATTAGAGTACTTGTTTAGGCTGGGAACAGATTCCATAAAGAAAATGCCAACAATCACATTTAAAAATTTATGTAATGAAATCAATGGAAATCAAAAAAGGGTGCCATATTTGATTAATCAAATTATCTAAACTTGCTAATATCTGATACAAGCAAATTACTGTGAAGATGGCACTGTTACACATTGCTGGTAAAGCAGTTTAGCAACACATATCAGAAGTGTTAAAAATATTCATGCTTCTTGATCTAGTACTTTCATTTGTAGAATTCTGTCCTGGTGAAATAATCAGAGATGTCAAGTATTTGTATATAAAAGTGTTTATTATTTTGATTCTAATAGTGTAATAAAAGACGGGAAGCAACTTAAATGTCCAACAATAGAGGAACATTTAAATACATTATAACATCTATCACATGGATATGCTATATAGCCATTCAGCTCATAATTCTCACAAAAATTAAAAAATATTTATGATATGAATAAAAAGCCTAAAGATAAATGTAGTAATAATAGTTTGATAGTATTTATTATTAGGTGGTAGAATTATGGCTGATTTGTATATTCTGAATTTTTATTGTTTTCCTTGTTTTATATATTTTCTGAAAATTTTACAATAAAACTATATATTGGTTTTAAAATAGGAAGAAAGTGTAACCCCCAGAATGACATTATTAGTAGTTATAGACTCTTTTCCTTGAAAAGTATTTAAAAAATTTGTAAAAATGTTATCTTTTTATAACTCAGTTTAATGAATATTTATTTAATATCTACTTTATTAATACATGCTAGATAGAATCTTCTGCCTGCAGTTATTAGGAACTTGCAGTCTGGTAAAGGAGATAATAAAAACATAAAAGTAATATTAATGTGAAATAGTGTCATAAATGTCATAAGAGGGATGAAATAATATAGAGGATTCAGAGAAGGTATGAATTGTATGTAGTGAAGTGATGCAAAAAAGTGAGTAAAAAAGAACAGATTCTGAGAACCTTCAAGAATGGGTAGGATTTTGACAAGCAGATATTGGGGACACTAGTAGGAGAAAAATTTCTGAGTGTAGCATGAGGGAGAGCCCAACATGGGTTCTATGTGGGGAAATCCAGTGAGTAAGGGAAGAAGACCAAACCATGGGTTGATACTCTGTTAATGAGGAGTTCAAATGCCTATGTGAAGTTGGTACATGATTCAGTAGGTGGAGGGGATTTTGAATTCTTGAGTGGAGAAATGATGCGGTGAGATCTGTTCTAAAATGGAAGCTTAACTGAGGAGCAATTAGTATGATAGAGTGATACAGGAGGGACTTAAAGTAGGGATCCAGTTTAGCTATAGCATTATCCCAGAAGGCACAGAGTGGTCAAAGGAATTAAAAGAATGGCTGGAAGAAACATTATAGGTAGATCCTATAGGACTTGGAGACTTGTCAAATGTAGGAAGAGCAAGAAAGAGAAAAAAAATCCATATTTGGTCCGAAGCTTTTTTGCCAGAGTGACTCGGAAGTCAGAAGAAGGAAACGATTTGGGGGACAAAAATAAAGAATTGAAGCTCCTTGAATTTTAGACTTCAGTAGCTCATCCAGGTAAAATTGACCTAAGAGCGAACGAAACTTTTCTTAGAACTTTATTAGGTACTGTTTATTTCCGATCACTGGAACTTTACAGATACAGACACTGTTTAGTTTGTGATGGCACATCTCATTCTGATGAGTCAGCATCTGAGTTAACAAGCATTGACTGAATGCCTGTGGTGTCCTGCACACTGTACAGGAGTAGACATGCAAAGATGAAAAAGACTTGGTCCTTTCCCCCAAAGGAGTCATCATCTAGCAGAACTGAAAACCACACAAGTCGTTTTATTTGGATTGCATACAAGACTCTCAGCTTCAGGTGCAGACCTTACTGTTAGAGTGCCACAATATAGGTATTTGTGGTATGAGGAAATGTGTTGTCAAAAGTCTAAATAGTGCTCGCTTCGGCAGCACGTATACTAAAATTGGAACGATACAGAGAAGATTAGCATGGCCCCTGCGCAAGGATGACACGCAAATTCGTGAAGCGTTCCATATTTTTATA